GTGGGGAGTAAGCGCCAACGAGGCCAGCAATGCTGTGGCACAGACTGGACGAAAGGCTGAGAAACCCGGAGACGCTCCCGTGGTTCAGGAGGAAGAGTCTCTGCGATCCAAGATCGTAGGCAATGCTCTCAGACTTCTAGCAATCTGCTTCGTCATCATCTCGAGCCAGGTGCCCAGTGTGAGTCTCTCCGAGGATCGGAACTCATCTCTCACGCGGTGCTGATCGTCTTTTGCCTCATTCGCCCGTTCATGCAGGCCCTGTTGATATACTGGCTTTCATCAGCCTTCTTCACCCTTTGTCAGACCGGAACGCTGGCGGCAATCGATCGTAGACGAGCTCGCAACTTGACTCCGACACCTTCTCCTCCTCCTACTCAGCCAATGTCACCTCGCTTTAGTGGCACCGCAGAACAGTATGGCAGGGCTGGCATAGCGCGAAGACGACGGTAAATCGGCGTTTCGTGGTACAGATCCGATTCCGCAACACAATTGTAATGTAATGCCAATCGTACCGTGCGCACCCAACCGCGCCACCTCTTTGTGTGTGTGAGCACTCTGCATTCGTGACCACGACCCCAAGCCTGATCCACACCATCGCCGTTCGTGCCACGCGCGCCTACAGCAAGACAAAAAGCGATGATGATTCAATTCGCCAGCTTGGTATCTAGGTTGATGACTACGAAGTACGCGGGTATACAGAAGGAGAGTAATGTCTCTCAGAGACGAGATGCGGCATGCAGAAAGACGAGGGCACGGAGAAAGCAATGCGTCTGGAGGTATTTGATGCAGAGGCCTGCAGCAGAGCGCTACTCTGTTCATCCGATCATTCCAAGAATACGGCTGACGCCGCCAAGTCCGTCGACGTGCAAAGGCAGCCGTTGAGAGTACTCAAAGGTGGGAATGACGAATCCATTCAGGCTCACACGGGCCTCGACCTCGACATCCAGGACTAGTGTTCCCCTCTCTTGCAAGAAGGTTTTGACGATCTTATCCAAGCTCTGAGCAAGTCTGCAGTCGATCTTGCCTTGCTGCTTGCCCGGATTACGCGAAATTCCCGGTGCGATGCGTAGAGGAGCCTTGGACATGTCCCTGGAGGCGCTGCCGAAAGGCTTTGACTTGAAGTGCGCAGCGAAGCTCAAGGAGAGCAGGTCGATCGACACCCCTAGGGGATTCTTGATGATGTACGCCGTTTCGATAGTGGAGTGCGTCAGCACCGTCGGAGTGATGTGCACGCTGATACTCTCCAGCAGCTCGTTGAGCACAGGTTTGAGGGCAAATTCCAAGCGAATGCGCTCGATAGCAGGCACGAGCACGGGTATCTGCACACTTTGCCGGTCGCCCTTGACCTGCAAAACAGATTGCTTGCCACTCAGAATATTCGAAGGGATGGCCCTGACTGGGCCTTCCTCAGAAGGCGCATATCTGAACTCCACATTCTGAACGGCCACAGGGCCGGTAGGCAAATCGAACGAAGTCTCTGAGACCAGCGCGCGCCCTACGTAGGTATCTCGAAAGTATACGCCCATCGAGAGTCCGGAATCTGGGAGACGCAGATGAACTTGCGAGGGATTGTTGAGGAAGAGATTGAAGCGGACCTCCAAGTATTCGGCGCACGCATCCTTGATCTCGAACCCAGAGTATTGGACTGGGCTGCTTTGCAGACCATTGAAGCCGGCAATGCTGATGAGGTGTTCTTGGCCAAGCTCGACAGTAAGTGGCAATTCGCCGATGCAAGTGTATGCTCTGATGCTGGCGCAACCTCGAAGACTGATGCGCTTGGTACCTTCCGGTCCAGCTTCGAACATGTGGAATACGAGCTCGGACATCGTCGCTTCATCCTTGGTATGCAGTTCGAAGCTTTCCAGCGTGAGCTTGAAGCTACCGCTAGCGCCTTCGTCCGAGTTCGATTCTTTGGCCTCCGAGATGGTGCCATCTGCAGTCTTGGCTCTACCGACCACGACGCCGTTGAAGACGAGCTCGACGTCTGCTGAAGCGGACAGAACCTTGACACCGATCGGATACCCAGGCACGCTGTATTTCACGGCGATATTCGTCGTCGAGATGACAGGTGAGCCGCCCTGAGGAAAGGATGCGTCAATGTGACCAACGCTGACTTGATCGACGATCTTGAGAGGAGGCTGCTGAACGGACGCCTCGGCTTTGAAGCCACGAAGCGCGGCATCCAGCCATGGGATTCTGCTGGGCTCGGACGTGGTACCAGCCCGAGGCCTTGCTGCAGGCGCAGCCAGCGATACAATGCTGCCGCTCGAGCCGCTTTGTTTGGAAGGCTGCACCCACGCTCTTTCTCCTTGTATGCCCAGCTTGACTTCCTTGCCCAGAAGCAGCGCGTTAATCATCTCCCCAAGCTTTTGGAGGCTCTCTTCGTAATTTGCGCTCTCGATGTACACTAGACCTCGCGCTTCGAGTTGCGTCTCGGCGTAAGCCTCCATGATAATGTCTTCGATAGCCAGCTGACCTATGCCAGCGCCCTGGTACGTTAGAGCAAGTTCGAGCCTGGAGAGAGTCAAAGAGATGTCGCTCGGATTGGGAAGCACAACTGAGGCGCAGACCTGTAGAGCTCCACGTCCCGTTCGCGTGTTTTCAGTTGGAGCCGCGGCATGGGTGAGACTACCACCTACGGCGGGAGCAAATGCTTCGCCAAGGACGGAAAAGTTCTCTACGCGCAGACCTTGAAAGCCTCCTAGACCCTGCAGAACGATGCGCTTCTGCAGCGTGGCTTGAAAGTCAATGCCACCAGCGGTGACCAAAACCTTTGCGACGAGCTCGAACTCGGTGGAGCTCTCGAGCAAGAAAGCTCTCACAAAGGAGGCGAAAGCTTCGGTCCCGCCAGCTCCTCCAGGGTGCGAGATGCGAGCATTGGTTTTGACAGACTGGAGTAGCTTTGGATTGACATCGACTCGATCTAGGATGTGCAGTCGCGCCACCCTGTTCTTCGACTGGCCGGGCTTCAAGCCGCCGCTCGCTCCATTCTGCTCCCCAGCCACAGTGAAGAGCTCGGCTGGGCCATTGAACACAATGCTAGCAGCAAGTGGACCAAAATTTGTGAGGCGGAGGCCTGTGCTCAGCATGATACCGTCCTCATCCATGTCGTGCACGTCGATACCGTTCAGCTTGACCTCAGCTCGGTCCACCAATGTCTTGACGAATGGGGCGCCAACGTCAGGCAACAGGGCAGCCGAGGTCGTGTGACTGAGCGCAATAGGTAAGCTGTGCTGCGTGAATCGCAGAGTACCTGGCAGTCGATATTGCCCAAGCATCGCAGTCGCTTCCACATGGGCAGTCACGCGCAAGTCTGCTAAAGCGCGAGCTAGGAGTGAG